TTTTTATATCCCAACAATCACTGCTTGCATCAACAACGAGACGCCATTTTGTGAAATCGGTGAGTATAGAAATGTGAACCCAAGAGAAAAAGTACCATCGGTAAATAAAAACTGAAGTAAATTTTTGATTCAAAACATATTAAGTGTCCATATTTCATGAAGCATGTATAACAATAGGAATAAGAATATTTGTCATCGGGGTCCATTCACAATAAATACTGACATTTCTGTAAGAGAGTTCTGACAAGTCATCAGCCGTAAACCCTTCAAATTCAGTGTCACTGTCCTCGCCAGCCAGTTCCGTCCACGCTAACTCGTTGGTTCCATCATCATAATAATCTTCAAGATTGTCAGACACAAGCACATCTTCGTCTTCCTTTCTGGCTTCAGGCGTTAGAAATTCCTCGAACAAGGCATCGTCTTCAGAACCGTTCATCGCATTTGAAATGCCACATTTCAAGAATGAATTCTTGACCATGATTGTTGGGATTTCGTGCCACGAGTCCCTGACCCATCTCGCAACTTCACTAAGTGGAGCCTTCCTCATGGCATTGGATTTCGTGAAAGTGTGTTCACCGTTAATCATCCAATCAGACCACTTTTTCCTGACATTCACCTTGAATGGCTTGTTAAGAGAAACATCCAGTGGTTGAAGTAGAGATGTGCAGCCACCCGGAATAACTGCCTGGTGTGTCTTCTTTTCAACCAACCTTTTCTTCACAGAATGACACAAATGGGCCCTAAACATATCCCAAACAAGTAGTGAGTTGCAGCCTCTCAATCCACCTGGTCTCACAGACCACACATCCTCTACCCATCTGTTCACTAGCGCCTCGTCGATCCATCCCTTGGGATGAACTGCAACTACAACACCTGTAGGAAACTTTTCCTTCGGCATTGTCTTACGCTTAAAGACAATCATCGGCTTTAACTTCGTTCCATCTGCCATACAGGTAAGTACGACTGTGAAGTGCTGCTTCTCGTTCCCTGTTGTTTTAACTGACACTGTCTTTATCCCTTTAATGTCGACGGTCTTTGATCCAGGCATATCAAAGCTTAGTGGTGTTTCATCCATGTTACCTATCTGTGACAGATCATAGTTGATAGCATTTCTTTCCTTGATAACAAAAGCTTGAAATAAGTATCCGCTTTTACAGCAAAAGATGATGATGATGAAATGACAACACAACAACAAAAGTTAGTATTATTATCAGGAATAGAGATCAAGTAGATAGTTGTCAAAGGTAAAGTTAGGAATAGAGATGAAAGAACAACTGTAAATTCTGATATTTTACTAAGTTTAGTTTTAACTGGATCGAAATTAAAATAGATCTAATTTAAATTTTGTATATATATAATACACTAGTTTTTATACTAATTATAACTTTACTTAAATATTATTTCAGTTTTATTTCTCAAGATTCAGAATTTATAACTTAGTTTTCATTTTAGTTAACCTTGCCAACTTTTTACGATTATTCCCATAAAGGGACGTAACTGCTGTAGGGCATGACAACTGTCACATGTTTTGAATGTTATGAGGACGCAGTCCAAGAAGACAAATTTCATTGGCAAATATCAGAGGTAAATGGCTAAAGGTAAGCAGTAAACAGTAAAGGCAAACTAATGAAAACAAAACAACTAGCAAGCACACGTTTGGCACAGTACAATTAGCGACTGACAGTTTTGAAAACAGTCACAAGATTTGCTTGTCCCAGCAAACACACAGATTTCTCTATTAGGGCCAGAAAATCATGGACTTCTAAGTTCTCACTTTTATGTTTCCTAACATTCTCCATAATAGCCCATCTTTTAGTTAGGGGCCCCATGACGTTCATGATCCGCGTCTGAATACGCTTTAGGGCAGCTCTGTGGCTTTGACAGGCGCGCATTTGCCTTCTTCTAGCATGTCCTGCCATTCATCGTCCAATTTCTGGACCCGAAAACCTTTGGGCACTGGGTTTTCCTCAAGAATCGAGGTTTCTAACACCTCGTCTTTCTCATAGGTAGTGAATGGTTTCGAGGCATAATCAACCATGTCATCAGCAATGGTAGAACTCACTTTCGTAGTTGACGGACGAAAACGAACATACTCGTCCGCCATTTTGGATCTCGTGTCACGTGATGTTTTCCGAGAGTGGCTCTTTTTCTTATTTTAAGATTTCGATTTCTTTTCGATGATTTCAACACTAGAGTCTGAATCACTGGAAAATGTAGGACTTGACGAATCAGACGAAACACTGCTTGAATCGTATGAATCTGAATAATCGCTGCTAGATGACCTCGAAACGGCCATCGCCTGATCACGTTTCTTCGGTATCCTGAAACCCTTCCAGTCCGCCTGTTTTCTCTTACGACCGCGGTTTGATACTTCCTCAAAGGAACCATCTGCAGTGATTTGAACACTGTTTTCTGCCTCTTGGCTTGATTGTTCTGCCTCTTGGCTAATTTCATGATCAGAGTTTCCCGCCATTTGGCTTTCCCCAAGTTGTTCGCCATTTTGGCTGTCCAACTTAGCCCGTCTGGGCTTAGGCATAATGACAGTTCGACCAACAGCGAACACTAACGGTACGAGCAAACCAAGTACCCAAAACTGTAAAGGGACACTTCCCCTACAAGAAAAAACCTAGTAACGTACGTAAATACAAAATAAAACTTTTGTAAAGGCTAAAACTCGAAGAGCGTAAAAGGTAAGTGTAAGACTTTTGGAAGCCAGAGAAATGAGGACGAGATCTCGTTTTTTCTCGTGAGACTACATTGAAAGGCTGTTAACTTCTGGAAGTTAGAGAAACATCGTATTTAGATGTTATTTCAGTTTTCGATATAAAATTAGCGACTGACAGTTTTATCGGAAACTCATGATCGAGAGAAAGTAGTGCTGATGTATACGGGACGCAAAGTGCCGATGTATACCGGACGCGAAGTGGCCACACAAAATAAATATTCAGACAAAATAAAGCTTCACTATATACAATTTACATAAAGCAATACATGACAATCAACCAAACCAAAGTAAATCAACAACCAAGTAAACAATGCATTGTAATATATCAACATGCAAATCAAGAGAACAATCAATCTCAATTCCATCCAAGTGAGTTCAAACATTGTCTATGGCACCGTAAATGTCAATGTCAAATATAAGTGTCAATGTGTCACAGCGCCCTACTGTACTCACTTAAATCACAGGTCCTTGCAGCAATAAACAATCTAGTATATAGAGAAGAAAGTCACAAGGATGGCATGTGGCAAATCACAGGATACCACATTGCAGCAGGCAAAATGGCGTGTGGCATATCACAGAATGGCATGAAGAATATCTCAGACGGCATGTTGAATATAACAGAAGCATTAAAACATCAGATGAAATTCACCACCTGATTGTTGGTCGTAGGGCATCTTGAAGAAAGGTGTCGTCCCTGTTCAGGCGCCAATGAGACCGTGGTCCAGGGGTGGAACAAAACTCGGGTCAATGGACGACACCGGGCCCTTAAAGAATTCTTAACGACCAGCCAATAAGAATATTCTTTTATTGATGAAGATGATGTAGAGATGTGTGTACCTGTACCTAGTGTTGGGAATCAGTTGTGATTTCATAATCGATCATCGGTTACAATCGGATTGGCCCAACCGATCAATCATCGGTTAATAATCGATTAAATTAAATGACAAGAATAACCTCTGAATAAAAAATATGTTACACAAGACCATGTGTTTGGTATTGTCTCAGACTCCTAAAGGTAAGTAAGTTCAGTTCAGAGACAGATGGTTGAACTTGAACAAAAGAAAAGAAAAAGAATTTGTTCTCTTTATGGTTTACTATTTATTTACCATCAATGCCAGAGATGCCAACCTCTACGATTTTATCATACTAGTGGCTACAAATTTTAGCCTAAATTACGCCAATATGTTTCACTAGAAAATAGAAATTCTACGAAATTGGAAGAAAATTCATTAAATTTCAAAATATAAAGACACAAACATACATTTTCGTTGATTAAATACATTTTCGTCAAAAAGAGACAAGAAGAAATGTAATGCTGATAATTTGGGAATCTGCTTTTGGAGGTATGTGAAATTAAAGCTTCACTCTTGATTAGTGGCATATTATCTTTCTCAGAATCCATCATGATTTTAAGTATTTAGTTGACTACTAACTTTATGGTCAAAATACTAATTTTGATCATTGAAAGTACTATTTGCAACACTTTGGGGTTGGCATCTCTGCATCATCAGCATTATCAACCATTCAACAAACAACAGATTTTGTCAGATGTCAATATTGTCATGAAAACAAACATGACTCAATGCCGGTGACTGACTAGAAAAGTGAATCAAAACATTCAACCAAGAGGAATGAAACCTCCACTCAAACTTTTGCATCTGGGGCCGTACTACTACACAAAGAGCACCTTGTTGCCATGACATGGCAAAACGACAATCCTAACAACCTTTAACTCCAAGAGAGGTAATTGGAGTAAGTAGAAAGATACATTATGCTCAGTTTCATTTAATGATTTTGATGACAAATATTCCCAGTGAATACAGACTAGAGTGTCACTGTCAATACAACAGTCAAATTTAGAGAGTGTACTGGGCACTACTGAGTATAACACAACTGTTTAAAACAGTTAGGACGGTGGTAGAAACATATTAAACAATGCTTAAGTGGAAAAGCAATGCAACTACAAACTTTACAAAGCAAGTATTCTTTGGCACAATGTCAGTCATTTATAGTTTACTTACCATAATATATAGCCATAATACAGAAAATTAATGTTAAAACAAGTCAACAACCTGAAAACGCAGGTACCTGAGAAGATTAAAACTGTAACAAGAAAATACTGCTCTGAACATGCAGTATGGAATGTTAAGTATTCATCCTTTGACAATTAGCAGGGCTCCACATAATTCAGGGGTAGCCATACATTATGAACAGTCCCTTATCATAACAGACTACTGTCCTCACTGGATCACCTCTGATCTATTAGTAATGGCTATTACCAATACAGTTCCATGTTTTTTCGCAAGAATACAAGCAAGTCAATGTTGTTAGGGCTGAGTCTTGCTCTCTTTTTGTTGACGAGATTACCTGCCAAGCTAAACACCCTCTCAGATGGGACTGAGGATGCTGGTATAGCCAAATACTTTCTTGCCAAGCCACTTATGCGAGGAAAATACTGAGCATTTTTCTTCCACCAATCTAAAAGGGTTAACTGCCTGTCTGTGTGAGCTGAGCCAAGATACCTTGCTACCTCTTGAAAGACTACATCTTCTCTTGGCTTGACAGTTTCACCTGTACACAATACATCCTCCAACCACTCATCCATGTCTGCTGCTGGACAAATTCGCTTTGCAGGTGAAAGTGTAAGTGAAATGTCCTCCTCCACAGATATGACCTTACCATCCTCATCATGTATGCCAAGGTTTGTCAAGTGTGGGAGAACGTCCTCTGTACCTGGTTCCTTCTTAATCATGTTAATGCTGGCAATGTTCACACCCCCAGCTTGCTTAAGAAGAAGGTCATGCGCAAATGCCCGGTCCTCAGCACTGAGGAATTCAAGGTCCTTTGCAAAAGGGTTCAATACGCATGCCATGGATATCAGCTCTTTGTCACCACTGGTTCTGTATGCCATTTGCTGTCTGATAACATCTTTCACCTTCTTAATGACATCAGGATCATCATCACTTGTCTTCATGCAATTATCAATCTTGATAATGATAGGCATGATTTTTTGGAGTGTTGGGTTTTTTTTGGCAGAAACTATAGTGGTAGCTTTTTCAAACGGTTGCAATATTTTGATCAGTTTCTCGGCAAGGGTGTGTTCTTCAAAAGAAAACACACATGCTTTGATGGTATTCTTAGCACTGTTGCTGAGAGTACTCTCATTCGCCAAAGCCATTATGGCTGGAGTCTGTTCAACCAAACAAGCAAGCATTGCATGTGTACTGTTCCACCGAGTTGGGACGTCAGCGATAAATTTGTGACCCACTAGTTCACTGCTAAGAAGCAGCTGTTGCTTTATCTTCAATGCATCAAAAGCGCTGGATGACTGATGAAAGAAAGTAACAAGGGTTCGGCCTTTCCCAATCAGTCTTGAAACTTCAGGCACTTCCAGGCTCTTCTTCACAACCAAATTAATTCTATGCCCATAGCAACCAAACTTCACCCACTCCAAAATCTCAAATGCCTTTTTTTCATTTGCAGCATTATCTGTGACCGCTGTTGGCTGGTGGAGCTTCCATTTCTGTTGCGTTTCTTTTAGACTTGCTGCAATGTTTTCTGATGTGTGCCTCCCTTCAGTTTTCTTAGTTTCCAAAACTACACTTTTCAGTTCCCACTCTGGGGTGATGAAGTGTGCTGTCACAGTGTTGAAGCTTTTTAATGTGTTAATGCTGGTCCACCCATCGTGGGTTGTCCCCTATAAAATGAAACATCTGGGGACCTCTCAATGTCCTTCATGATATTTTTCTGCATTATGTCCTTCTTCCTTTGAAGCTGTGTGGTGACAGCTTTCCGTGAAGGAATGTCATACCTATGAGAAACAAGAGATAAGACCTTAAACATGATGAATCAATTAACAGGTGAAAAATGTTATCATACTTTTTTTAAAGATTTTAAGTACACATTAACCAATACATTGAATTTGTAACTTGTAATAGTTGCTTTTGTCCAACTAAACTTTTTAAAAATTATCTTTCTAAATGAATGTCAGAAATTAAATGGAAGGGACTGATGAGAAGACTATGGATCAATCTCAAGACATTACAATGCTCCTTGAGGAAAAGTCACATTGTTCCGAACCAAACAATACCCAAGCATGTAACTTTCCTTCATAAATCTCTTATTATCAAGTTTTTAAATTAGCAGGGTGATAAAAATATATAATACCTGTTTAAATTGAAAATTTTAAAGGACAACCAAACATTAATTTCCTATGTGACCAGTCAAAGTGTTTTGATTATATTACTAACCTTGGGTCCAACAGTGCCACAAAGGCTCTAAATTCTTTGTTGTCCACCAAACTCATCGGCAATAGCTTGCGCACAAGTAATTTCATCAGAGCTTCAGTTATATCATTTTGTCTGTTGGTTGACCTCCGTGCTGGTTGTGAAAAGTTCCCATCAATTTTAAGCTGAACTGTCCTTGGTTGAGCAGGTTTTGTAGCATCAGCGGCTGCATGGTCGTGGCTCAAGTGAAATTGTAAGTTGGTTGTGTTTCCTGAAATTACTGTGAAATCTGTTTTTATCTCTGTTTTTATGTTTTAACATCTTGATCTAAAAAAGACAAATATCAATTATTTTCTTGATTCCGACAAATAAAAAATCTCTAATCATTTATGAAATCAACTTGCATGATATATTTCATATATTTTATTTTTTCAATATATATCCAAAAGTGACTGACATAGCAAAATACTGCCCCACAAAGGGTACTCCATAACATCTTAAAGTCACTTTACTTTTCTATTTTCAAATAATTCTTTTGTCCATTCACTTGATATTATCACGAAATTATGACCATTATAACATCTTCCTTTTACTTTTCTATTTTCAAATAATTCTTTTGTCCATTCAATATCGCCCATTATGACATGTCACAAATACGGTTTTCGCTTTGACATGTCAGGGCCCCTGGCATTTCTCGAAACACTTCCAAGCGTTGGATCTGGCTTTCCCGCCAGGGTAGTTGAATATGTCATCGACATCAACCCGGCTCGGCAGTCATGTTGTTGTTTGGCTTAAAGCTAACAACAATTATGTTTTCACCAAAACTTCGCTTATTTATCTTAACACATTACTGGCAGATCATTATTTATTTAGACTTTTTGTTTCTTTTGTTTATTTTTTATATTCTGCAGCTAGGTTACTCTGTATTTAATACGTCCCTCATGAACAAGGTAAGCAGAAGTTGTACTCTCATGGAATGAGGTAAACATGCAAGTCATCGCTGCGCCGGAGTGTGCATGCCAGTTTGTTGTGATCGACAGCTACAATTAATATGCCATTAAGCAAAACAAAATATAATATACACTGCGTATCCATTTTCAGTCAACTTCACTTCATTTCGAGGCGTAAGTAGACGCCATATGATTGTGAATTCTGTGAATAATACGGACAGAAGTTATAATCATCGGTAGCTGCCAGTTGTCTTGTGGTCTGAGTTGGGTATATTTGACTGTTTTCGTAAAAAATATTAGCGACAATCGATTAAGAAATTTGCAATCGATTGTCGTGTCGGAAAAGGGTAACCAATCAATTTTCGATTATAATCGATCATCGGAACACCACTACCTGTACCTATACAAGAGAGAAAGTCTCTCAATGGGAGATAGGTACACACTGTCACATATAAAACATTTCCAAAGCAAATAAATCATAGCCTATTTACAAATATATCAAGTGACAGTATGCAATTATCAAATATCACAGGTATTGAAGTAAGCAATTGACAGTAAGATACTGCAGTAATTACAAGTGCCGAGTATGACTATTTTCATAAGCTAATGTGACAATAGTCATGGCCGACACTAAATAAGCACATGGCCAAAATAATTGTCAAGTTTATGATTTAACTAGCTTTTTTCAAATCAAATTGTCTGATTATTTATTCTGGGTTAGCATTTACGTATAACCCTAATTGATATTCAATAAATTTAACAAATACCTAACATCAAATTATAGAGTGATAATGAAATAGTAAACGGGTTGACTCACCTGTACAAAAGAGAATGTCTCTCAGTGGGAGGTAGGTACACTCTGAGAGACAATGCACAGGTGGGCAACAGGAAAACTATGGAGGACCAATCATAGCCAAGGTACCTTGGCATAAAAGAAGCCAATCAGTTGAAGGTACCGTAAGTGACAAAGGAAGTAAGTCCACTGATGGAAAAGAAGAATTGAAGTGAATTAGGATGGTTCCCAATTCAGAAAAAGATGGAATTAGAAATTCAAGATGGTGACCGATGTTAATATACATAAACAAGACTATACAATGAAATGACATGGATGCTGTAACTGAACCCAAAATGGCACTGAAGGTATTTTTGATATTGTATTGAAAAGTTAGATATATATATATATATATATTATTTTTTTTCATTATCTCTATATAATAAAATATGCATGACTGTGAAAATATGCACAAAAATGCAGAAAAATACCACATGGCTACTCATACAACTTTAGGGACTGCACTAGCATTGACTTCTTCCTTAAGTGTATACAGATTGTCGATGACCTTAGTCAAAATGCACACAGTTTTCACAATCATGGCCTGGGTCTTCTGCAGTTTTTTGTCAACTGCCTGGGTCTTTGATTTCATCAGGGTCCATATCAGTTCATCTACCTTTGTAGGAACAAGAGAAGCACAGCTGACTGGCCTCAAAGCCACTTCCACTTTTTTCCCTGTTACTTATCAGGAGGACTGGCTTTGAATATCAAATCATCCACGATTCCTGCCAACAGAGTATTGACTGGCTCAGAGGTTCTCTCTTTGTCAACAAGCTGCTCATGTATTTCTTGAAAAAAGTCAGTGTTAGGCTTGGAGGAAGCCGGCTTGGGAGATTCGCTATGGGGGGTCACCCAAGTGTGATAACAAACCAAATGATTTGGACCTTTTCTGTTGTTGCTCTTCATAGTCTTCAGTGACTGAGTTATCAATGTAGGTATAATCAAGTTCTGGGTCATAACCATAGTCAATGGTTTCGTGTGACTCATCAGATGAGCGTTTTAAGTCATTGAACCCATCGCTGATTGTATCTTTTAAATCTTTGATGGTACTGGTAAGAACACTGACCAGATCAAGTCCTCACACTGCTAGGTTTTGTCGAAGTAGCCATCCAAGTTCCACACTCCATGATCAAGAAGCAATAATTCAGATCTGTCTTTGTCTCTGGGGTCAGATTGGTGTCTACTAGTGGTGGACACGGTGTCCTTCCGCAAAGGCATGCTTTTGTTTACTTCAGCCATTTTGGGTCAAATCTAAGCAGTGGTACACACTGCTCTTATATTATAAAAGACCAGCCACGCTGGGGGACCTATAAGTCGAATTCTCGGAGCACCAAGAAATTACAGTATACAACTGATATTAATCAACAAACTCACGTGACAAAGTTAGTCACAAGTGTACAAAGTGATTTTTCTGACACGTGATAGAACATGTCTATCTACTCGTAAGAGGTCATTAGGAATTACTGACAATATTGACAACCACGTAACATCCCCCTTCTGTTAGATTGAAATGTACAAAGTATAATCACACAAGATAACATTATTACTGTGTATAAATGGCGTTTTATTATGATGTGATAGAAGTCGAAACAACTTTAAATGTTAAATGAACAAATATGAGTGTTAGACTAGAATCATGGGTTATCTTTTATTTTCCAACAGTTTTCTTATCCCTGAAAGTTTTGGGATGCAGACAATTCAGGTACTTGGTATCTGAGTATTCGTCCGTCGTCCTCTGTAGGAGAGTTTCTGATATTGAAGAGACCTTTTCTCATCATTTGCTTGGCCACTTTACCTGAAGAGGAAGGGTAAGCCGAGGCAAGGACGGAAGGCCGGGCGAGAAGTGAGGGGTTGCTCGAGTAAGGGTTTTGAATCCTTAAACTGGCTAACCGCCTCCGCGGCCTCCCTGACTACTGTCAATGCCCCCGGGAACAGGGTTGAGCCCATCCTGAATGGCAGAGACAGCAGCGCCTGCTGAGTAGCCGGTGAATACCTGGCCACGGACAGCCACAACCGACGGAGGCCCATAACTGCAGACATCATCTGGCTAGCGCACGACTGAATGGCGTCGCGTGCCAGATGAGAATGCACCTCCGTCAGCTGCCTCGCTAACGTAGACGGCGACACGGCGTCGTCCACGCCCTCCTGGTCCACCAGCTTCCTCTGCAGC